GAGCTGCAGGAAAATGGGCACTGAAGGGCTTCAGTCCAGCTAATTATTGAATAAAGCCTAAGACTCGATTACCATGTCAGGGGAAATTTTTCAATGGGCGTATTTTCATTTGGAGCACGTCTTCTTACTTAGGAGAGGAGTTGTTGGAAGACTAGGATGACATTGTCTTCTCTGACTTATTCTGTTCATTATTAATTACATGCAGTGTCATTAGGATGAGCTCTTTTTTACGTACTGGACTTCGGAGCCTTGGGGTCCTGAGTGTAGTCTCCTAATGGTTTGGGACAACAGGAGCCTGAAGCCGGAAGCAGATGGTTATCATGTCTATTTCAGTCTTGAGTCTGATGGTTTAGCTAGAGTATCTTAACATGCTGTGAGCGTGGCTGATGCAGCTCTGCTTGATGCTTTTCCACTTTCTTTTGACTACTCTAAAAATTAGCTGTCTCCAGGAAGTCTCCCCAAGAATTAGACTGTAAGCTCCGGGGGGCAGGCACCAGGTCTGTCTTATTCTGTGATGAGCCCCCAGTGCCTGGCGCGCGGTAACTTCTCAGTAAGCACGTGGTAACTTCTCAATAAACACGTGTGAACGCAGGCGTCGACAAGGTGCCAGGTGTTGTGCCAGGGGCTTGGGGCACATCAGTGACTAAAACACAAGTCCCTGCCCTCGTGGTGATTACATTCTAACAGGAGGAAGTGGGAGAGCATGAGTAACTTACATGGTGTGCGAGAAGGCGATAGAGTTGAAAACAAATTCGAGCAAAGTGAGAGGGATTGTGAATGCCAGGGGTGGGGCAGAGTTGGGGGGCGGGCGTTGGCCATGTTTCCTTGTTAAACAGCATGCTGCCTCCAGGCAGGCCTTGTTGAGAAGGTGAGATTTGAGGAATGATTGGAAATGGCAAGGACGCCAACCCAGGGGAGATTGGGCGGGGAGCCTTCCAGACGGAGAGAACAGGCAGAGCAAAGGCCCTGAGGCAGCGGCGCCTCTGAGGCCCGTGAGGCTTGAGGGTCGTGAGCAGGGGGCGAGCACACAGCGCGAGACAGGCGACGGCGACGGCGGGCCAGCCCATCTGGTGTTTGGGTGCATGAAGTGCCCTGGCTTTCTTCCCAAGCCGCTGCGGGGCTTTGAGCAGAGAA